TGCACCCCCGACCCCGCGGGCTGGGAACCCCCTCCCCGGGACCCGCGTTCCCGGGACCCCCCTGCGTCCCCCGACCCCACGGTCTGGGGACCTCCCTGTCCGCCCCACCCCGACCCCGCATTTCCGGGACTCCCTTCCTGCGCCCCCCGACCTCGCGGGCTGGGGATCCTCCCAGGCCCCGCGCTCCCGGGACTCCACCCCCCACCCCGCACCCCGCACCCCCCTGCCCCGCCTTTGACCGTCTTCTGCCCGCAGCTCGGCCGCTACTCCGCCCTGTTCCTCGGCGTGGCGTACGGAGCCAAGCGCTACAGTGAGTGACCGCGGGTGGCCGCGCCGCTGTCTTGGCCCAAGGCAGGGGTAGCACTGGGGCTTCTCACAGCCGGGGGGGGGGCTCCCCAGAGCCATTCTTGCCCCAGCGAAGGGCAAGAAAGGGGGCAGGGTTGGGAGGCCCCAGCCCCAGAAACCCGAGCAAGTTTGATCCCTGAGCGGGGCCGCGCAGGTGTGTAGGTTGCTTTGGGATTAGCGCAGGTGGTCAGGACCCAAGGTGCATTCTGATGCTGGGCAACCCCCGGGAGCTGGAAAACGGCTAGCTCTTGTTGAAAATTGGGGTGCCAAGTGGGTGTTGGGGGAGTGCTGCGGTCAGACGTGAGCAGCCTCTGGGGGCCTAGATTGCTGAGCCGAGAAGTGGGGCGAGGTGGTGGGGCATCTGGTGGAGCATCTGGAGTGCTGGCCGGCGGGGCCCTGCAGCTGCCCTCGGGCTTGGGCTCTTGGCTGAGGAGGTCAGGCCTTGGTCCACCTGGAAGGAAAGGAGCGGAGAGCACATGCATCAGGCGTTCACATGCACTAAATTCCTTTTATGCAGCGTGTTGGTGAAGACACTGAAGGTACCTACCCATGTTCGTGCTTTCCTTACACAGGTTACTTGAAACCTCGGGCAGAAGAGGAGCGGAGGGTAGCCGCTGAGGAGAAGCAGCAGCAGGATGAACGGAAACGGATTGAGAGAGAACTGGCAGAAGGTACTGGAGTTAGTGCATCTTGCGGCTTTGTCCTCTGCCCAGACTTGAGGAACATACAGGTGCCGCTTCAGGTGCACCCCACAGTGGGGGCTCGCAGCTGCCTCCTCTCTTCCAGCACTGGCCAGTGGGTCCTCTGCGGCAGGGAGAGATGCAGCAGGGCCGTGGATGTTGGGGGGCACGGGGACACCTTGCCTTGGGCAAGGCCCACCAGGTCCCTAGGCCTTGGAGGCCAGTTGTCTGGGAATGTGCCCCCCTCAGAGGGCGCACAGGACCGGAACCGGGTACG